AATGGTTTTCACTATGACTTTATCAGTCTATCACATTTTTGCAGAGGAATTTTGGCCAACAGTTGATAACAGTTCTTAAAACTTCTTGTGCAATTTTACAAACTTAAGTTGGGCTGTCATGTTATTTTTAAGGAGATGAAGTTTTCTCCTATCAACCCTTCCAAACAAGCTAATTACTACCTCTAATGCTACTTTTTCCATTCGTATTGTTGTTAGCTTTAACATTCATCCTTCATTCTTCACGTGCTTCGATATAGTCAGTGTTAGCTCAGTGGTTATTAAAGATAGCGTTCAAAGTAATATTACATCAGGTTGTATATATGTTGTAGAATGTGGCATAGTGGAATAATTGAGAGAATCTCCACTAAACATTGGGTTGGCATTAGGGGTGGGCGATATAAACGATATACGATAGAAACGATATACGATAGAAACGATATAAATTTGGCCAACGATAGAGATTTTGACTATATCGCTCTATCGCGATAGCGCATGTTGATGATGTCATCAAGCTGCGCCTGTTTTGGTCGAAAGCATCGCAGCGGCTAAAACCATTATCATCTGCAAATTATAGCGGGCGACAGCCATAGCAAAGAGATGAAGCACTTTTCAAATATGGGGAAAGCCAAAAACTGCGCTTCCTCCACTTCCGTAACATTGATTCATTAATGCTGAATTCTCTCGCAGCTGTTCCCATGTTTTGCAGTATATTAATAACTAACCTTGTATTGTGGATGAATAATCTCAGTTGTTCTCCTGACTGAAGTTTGGCCCGTGTATAGCATCCTGCTATGCTATTGCATTTGTCCCAAACCACCAGAATCCCTCACGTTAACGTTTATCGAGTGGAAAAAAAGTTGGCGTTCATCCTCCAGCTTCACTGTGCTAATGTTATGCTAACATAGCTGTGTCGCTAGCAATCAGGTAGCACAACATTATATACCAGGTAGACCAACTTCAGTAACCCTGCAAACGCCACTGCTGTTTAGTTTTCTGTCTTCATTTATGTTGGAAGTGGTAGCAGAGCTGTACGTTTTAATTAGTTTCAATAATCTCTCAGTCAGAACATGGTATGAAATGTTTAGGTGTAAACTGGCGAGCTAACTTCCTGCTAACTTCTAACTCCGTTCAATTTAATAAATTCTGTTTTCATGGATTCATGGGTGTAAAACTTTATTGTTACACCCGATAAAGCAGCAACATTGATGATTTAATTAAAGATGAAATAATTTAGATCGTTTTTAACTCTCAGTGTTCGTTTGACTTTGGGACCTGAACCAGACGGAGTTTTGGACCCAGATTACTCCGCGAAGCTCCTCACTACGGCAGCCGTAATGCTCTGACAATCCATCAAGCAGTGCCGCTTACCAAAGTTGTACTAAAACATTTTTTAACAGATTTCTGCACGCCAAAATCGGTTTGAGGTCAGTAAGCACAACCAGAATTCATACATAAGGCAAGGAAAATTAAAGGATTTTAAGTGTGCCTTATGGTGTGGAAAATACGTTATACAGAAGAAAAGAATATATCGTGATATATATCGTTACCGCACATGCTTCAAATTATATCGCGATATGAATTTTAGGCCATATCGCCCAGCCCTAGTTGGCATCATCTTCCATTTGAGTTATTGCATGCTTTGGTGTTTTTGTGTTTTGTCTTTGTGTTCTGCAGCTCTTCTCCAGCTGCCACCTATTTAGAGTTGAGTACAGAGAGTAGTTGATTGGTAATGATTTGAGCCCTTCTCAATAAAGGGGAGAGAAAAGAGGAAGGATGTTCTTTGTTTTTCTGTAGGACACAGTTGGAGAAGGGAAGCCGGTTGAAATTGGAGACTCCAGTGAGATAAGTGAACATTTTAAAGGAAAATAGTTTTAACCTGATCTGGAGGATTTAGCTCTTAAAATAATCAGTGACATCAGGAGGTTGATTCACTTTAATTAGAATTTATGTGGATTTGTTGTGATAAAGAGACTGGATTGGAAACTGTTGGTGTGCTGGACCTGCGTGTTACGCAAGTTTAACGGGGAAAAAGCCTACTCTGTAATTAGGAGGTAACCAAAGAGAGGAAATTGTTCAAGACTTGGAGAGGAACAGCTTGATTGTTGAAGTCCCTGATGGGGAATCCCACTCCCTAAGAACACAAAGTCTGTTAATGTGGGTGGAAAGCCTTTCTCAGGAACATGCGAGATTGATGCACTATATTATCTTGGGTTCCAGCAGTACACCCATCTACAGATGAATCAGAGAATCATTTATGAGTCATACTTGTGCATAACTGACTAATTTCTTTCTCACCGGTCTTTACTCAATATTTAGCACCAAGTTATAACATGTTTGCATATAATTTAAAGTTTAGCCCGCACAGCAGCTCTGAAGCTGAAGCCAGATTTGGATGCTTTGAGCTAAATATCACTATGAGAATGATAACATATATACAAGCTCGTAATACGCTGAAGCTAAGCAGATTTACATCGTTCAAGTGTGTTGATATGCTGTTGAGAAACATTTTTCAGATGAGTGACCCGTTAGTGAACTCACTAGGTTTTGCTGTTTTCAGGCAATCAGATTTAAGGCATGGAAATGGGTTCAGTGATAGCCAAAAGTAGAACCCCTCCAATATATAGACCACATATAGACAAGCATTGGTAACATGGTTTGATCTGTCATTTCGTGCCTTTTATAGCTGTCAGTGCTCAGAAAATTCTGAGAAAATCTGTTTTGTCAGGAATAAAGTCTAGGTGACAGCCAACACAAACAGAAAGAGACCGACGACTCCCCCCGCATAAAACCGCAAACACAGGATGCTGGCAGTACACGGAGATCAAATGACCAAGATAAGTAAAAGAGGGGATTTTTTTTTTTATCAAAGTGCACAGAAAGTATCAGTTAGGATTAGTCTGAAATTAGTCAGAAACTGTTAAATATGCCACTGATTTCTAAGTCATGAAATTTAATTTTATGTTTTGTCTTTAAGTCTTCGACAGTATAGTATAAAATCTTTATAATAGTTTTAGAGATGCTTTTACATTTCTGAATGTTTAATTTTTCATTTATCTTTTTCTGCATGTATAAAGTGAAGGTAACATCTTATGCATATTGTACTTATTTAAGAGGCGATTGGATCAGTGTCAAACCTGCAAACTTTTACTGTGTTTAAATTGCATATATCTGGATATATTTGTGTTTTTGATAAATCTGGCCCTCTTCACACAAACTTATTTTTATTAAATTATTATTATTATTATTATCTGGTTCCCCTAGCACCATCTAGCCTTTGGAAGGGACACAGCACTGTTAACAAGAAAAAGCGCAGCATTATGGTTATTTTGTGTATTTAGATGGTGTCTTTCCGTTAGACGGAGGATCTTGGAAGGTTCCAAAACATCAGCTGGCTAATATTAGCGCACTGTTTTTAGGGGAGTTTTCCATTTAGAGGTTTTTCCACTTCAAGATCATGATATTTTGTGTTTAAGGTGTATTGCCGTTAAAATGACCTGATTCAGTTATGACTGGTTTCCTGTTCTTCAGCATACAAAGCACTAAATCATAATACAGAATAATACAAAACAGCAACACCTTTTTTAAGAGATGTTTCAAATGCTAACAGCCTCCTTACATGGACATGTTCGCGTTTATACTCAAACCTGGCTGAAAATTGTAAATATTTTTACCTGTATAGTTAAATATCTTCTACATTACTGAAATTAATTTACTATTAGGTGACCATGAAGAATGGAGGGATTTTTTAAAACCATTCTTCTAGCAAAAGTGGCAATAAAACACTATAAACAAAACTGTGGTGAAATGTTCCTCATCTGCGTTGTATAGATTAAAAATACTGCCAAAGTTATTAAGGCTGAGCTAATTTTTAAATGCTTTATACTCACCATTTAATCATATTTGTAGTGGCTGTCCCTGAACATGAGAGTTCAGGGACAGAAATACAGTAAAAAGTTTTAAACACAGTAAAAGTTTGCAGGGACAGAAACAAGGAGTAATTAGCACATTACTCCTTTAGAGTGCTGTATAATTACAGTTATACAGTACTCTAATTCCTCTACATCACACATATTGTCCAAGATGGCCAATAAGAGGAAACTTATCACAGAAGACTCTAGTTGCTAATGCTAGCTGTGTTTCCACACAAAGCAAAGCTGTTACTTGATCTTACAGCAGTGAAGCAGATCCAGCAGCATCTTGTCTAGTGCACTAATATTCTATCAGTCTCCCATTAAAGACTGGACTTTATACACAATGAACATGCAAAATCAGTCAGAAAAAGCTGCTGGACTCTTGGCTTGACATGCTCCAGCTATTTTTCATGGGACACAGACATGCCCATAAAACAGAGACACGCTACTGTTTCCATTGAGATCCCAGGCAAGTGCAGCTTTCAACAATTATACCCAATAGCATCCAGAAGATTCTAGTGATGTAGGGATGAATGCAAACAGGCGACGCGCATCATGACAGAGCACTTGAGAGCACAGAGCACTACATGAAAGTAGAGATATCGCTTCCTCTTGCTATGTTTTAATTAATGTCTAATTTTGAATTTGACTAGGTGCTTGTCTTGATGGAATGCCATTGCCTAAAACTATTCTACTGAATAAGTTTTAATCTTTTCTTCTGAGTAAACTGATGTGATGAAGAGACACAATCAGTAAGCCATACTTGGAAAGGAAACTTGGAAAAAAAGAATACAAAATATATAATACTTAAACATTTATACTCAGTCACAAATACTTAAATAACAGAATATAAATATGTATCATTCAAAAATGTATCATTCAGTATAAAAATAAGCAATGGTGTCAACATAAAAAATAATTATCCTTTCAAATATGTACACAGCCTGCTCCCTTCTATAAAGGAAAGGTGCAATTTTAAAAGTTGCTAGCACGCCTGATGATATATTATAAGTGCATAATAAATACAATTCAAATGTAGAAAAAATGTATTGCTATCACTTATGAAGGAAGTAATAGCAAACATGCACCAATAGAAAAGTCCAGCAGATGCCTCCATCCTTGTTGCACATGTTGGGAAATTCATTGTGCAGAGGAATGTGTGGGCTTGCTTATTGTAGTCCTAGTGAGTTAAAAATACAGGTGACGACAGCTGTAAACACGTAAAGTTTCCATGTGTCAAGTGTTCCAAGAAACAGGCCTGATGGATGAATCCCATCAATAAAACTTTAAGATATTGTTTAGACAATAGTTTGGAGCCTTCTTGTAGGTACTGGGGGCAGGTGGTACCTGAGATTTATCCAAAAGTTTCTCTTTGAGTATAATTCTGTGAATTTGTGTGTCGCAAGAAAATCTTTCTTCCATTTCAGGGCTCCTTGTTTCCTCTTGATATAACGCAGAGACTCTGGCAAGTGACTGTAATCCACTGGACCATCTGGCAAAAAAGAGAAACATTTTTAATATAAATGAAAATAAACACGTTTAATAAGCTGACATTTTAATTTTTATTAAATGAAGTCCTGACCGAGTGCAACAAGTCCAGAGATGAACACACTTTATTCCTTGTCAAAATGTACTATATGTTAGCTTAGCATAAAAGCTGGAAGTAAATCTCTGCTTGTGATGCCTGCAAAGCATTATGCATGACTAAATAGGGCATGAATGCTGAGTTATATAACCCGTGACTTTACAGGATTCGTGTGGCTAGAGGTTTTTGAAAAACGAGGAATCATTTACCAATTTCCACCAGAATAACTCTGGGATCATTCTTCGTCAAAGCATCATGAAGGCCAACTTTCTGCTCATACCACACTTGGCTTTGATTGTCACATATGCAAGTGCTTTCCTCCATTTTCCCCTCAGGTGATAAGATGATAAGCAGTCTGCGGCACTGGTGCATCGCAGCAGCTGTTGCATCGTGTATTGCTGTAAGAGATTCATGGCCAGACACAAAACTGCAGGTTAAAACTCTTTGTCTGCAAACTGAAAACAGCCCATTTCCACAGCACAAACTATAATTTTGGGCAGAACTGTGACTTCTTCCAGGCACTCATTTCTTCTTCTTTTTTAACTTACCAGTTTAGTCTGCATTAATAAAATTAAAGAACCTTGTAAGTGCCTTGAGGCAGCTGTTATTGTGATTTGGCACTATATACATAAAAACTGAATTGAATTGCAATGTATCACCAATACAAACATAAAGGAAATAAACTAGAACAATAAGAAGAACACAAAAAGAAAAGGGAAAAACAGAAATACAGAGGATAGCTAGACATCAGCTCAAGAAAGTATTAAGTCTGTTTTTAACTGTACTGTACTGTGTTCCAGTAATTTAATAAACATGGCTTTTATCCAATTCCTCCCATCTATTATACTAGGAGTTTAACCAAGAAGCTCTTATTTTCTTTTCAAGCTTCTCTTTCTTTTTTCTTTTTGCAACTATAAACAGAATTCTTACAGATAGAGTTGTGGTCAAAGGTTTATATACACTCATCATGAGAATGAATGCGATAGCAATGCCACCACCATGCTACACAGCTGTTACAGTGTTCTTTGGTTCAACAGCCTTTACTTTATCTTCCAGGTCATGGCAGGCTTGAGTCCTGGTGGTTCCTCTGAAGTTTTTCCTAACTAATGTTCTCTGATCTGAGGACAGCATTATTTGGTCATTGTCCAGATTGTGGCAAAGCAGTGGCGCATCCAAAAAACTTGTACTTATTTGTAGTTAGAGATCTAAACTGAGGGTCTTGGAACCTGCTGTTGTTTAACAATAACTCCAGACCTTCCCTTCCCAACTGTAAATCTACAATTGTCCTTCTTAGATCTTCACTGAGACCTGAGTATTGGTCAATCTAATGAGTGCTGTCAAACAAATCCTTTTCATGCTGGCAAAGAGAAATATTGACTGACTACAACATCAGTTGTAATCGCTGATGACTTTAGTAGCACAAAGATAATAGGCTTTGGTCTTGTCAAGTTAACAGACAGTGTAGAAGCGGGGGTCTTGAACTCCAGGCCTTGAGGGCCGGTGTCCTTCAGGTTTTAGATGTGTCCTTGATCCAACACAGCTGATTTAAATTGATAAATTAGCTCCTCAACATGTCTAAAGTTCTCCAGAGGCCTGTTAATGAACTAATCATTTAATTCAGGTGTGTTGACCCAGGGTGAGATCTAAAACCTGCAGGACACCGGCCCTCGAGGCCTGGAGTTTGAGACCCCTGTTGTAGAGGCTTTCTACCTCTGTTTACATATTATGGATATCTGCTTCTTACCTTCGCCAGGACAGTCATCCCGTCCTCTGATAAACAGAGAGTAGCCATATTGTTCCTCCAGCTTCTCAGGCAGAATCTGCATGGCAAACCTCGCGCCCTCATCTGAACTCATGGCATTGGAATGGATGAAACTCACGTAGGCATCATAGAGCTTCCCATCTGGAACTGACAGAATCTAAATGATTGTTTATGTTCATTTTATAAAGTTTGATCCTTTTAAAATGTGAATCAACATCCAGCTTAGTAGTATCTGGTCAGATGATGCCACACAAAAACTTAAGTTCAACTGATAACGGCCTTACCTTGTTGTTTGGGAAAATGTGCCAACAGATCCCTGTAAGCCAATATCAGGTTTACTTTAAAGAAGAAGAAGCACGCAGCCAAGGCTAGAACAGCCAGAGATGCAGAAAGGCAAACAGCCCAACTCATGTGGAAAGAACTGCGGTCAGCTGGAGAGAGAAAGGAGACAAACATAGGGCAAGTGTCTCAGACGACTATAATTCTTGAACACACACACATTTATATGTATATGTCTATATATATCTTTATTACCTTCTTTAAGCTTCACCACACTGATTTGTTCTCCCGCTAGGCTTTCTAAATGGCACTGGAACTCAAAATTCAGGAACTTGCGATGAACTTCAGCGATGGACAGAATGACCAGTTCGTATACTTTGCCTTCTCTATGAATACTAAAGGGTACAGAAACAATCAGTCAGTCAGAATGAATCATGGAATCAAAGAATAATATGAAAATGTTAGGTGTTAAATTTTTTGTGCTGCTACAGTTGCAACATTTACAGTCTATTACTAAGAAGAAGTTAAGAAGTTCTGCCTCCAAGTGACATTTAACGTCTGACACATTGTGTTGTTTTGATTTAATCTCGCTGCAGTATAATGCAGTGTTTTGTATTCGCCCTATTAATAGCCCCATCCATGGTAATGTAAAACTCACGTTTTCCGGGACACACTAATCTCCTCGAGGTCCTCAGCGTAATCCTTACCAACAGTCCAGTGCAGTGAAGACTCGTTATCCTCACTGTAGCCTATGAATGCTAAACACTGCAGCTCCACTCTCAAACCTGGCGGGCAGTGAGATTAAAAAAATGAAGAAACTGTCAGTCTATATTTCCCGTTTTGATAAAACAAAAACATATATCAACAACAACAACAATCTTTATTTATAGAGCACATTTAAAAACCAGCGGTATACCAAAGTGCTTAACATAAGAGACAGAGAAGTAACACGAGTATTATAAGGCCTTAGCAAAGTATCAAATATACTCACAGGTCAATGCCACTAATACACAGGGTAATATAAAATGCATATCAAAATAAAAACATAATAAAAGCACAAGCTATAAAAAATATGTATAAGAAAAAATAGAGTAAGTCTAAGAGTCAGGTGCGAGCATTAACAAGCAGGAAAGGCGAGATTAAACAAATAGGTTTTTAACCGTGATTTAAAAGACTGGATAGAATCGGACGCCCGGATCACAATCGGAAGGTTATTCCACAACTCTGGTGCAGCCAGGGCAAACGCCCGGTCACCTCTAGACTTCAGCCGAGATCTAGGCTGCACCAAGAGTATCGTCAGCTCAAATGAAGTTTGACGTCACTGAAACTTTTCAAAAGGCTTCTGACTAATTCTGTTCAGTTGCTAGATGACAAAGCACCATTGCAAAGGTTTTAAAGGCCCAACCGGTCGCAGCAGATGGCCGCCCCTCCCTGAGCCTGGTTCTGCCGGAGGTTTCTTCCTGTTAAAAGGGAGTTTTTCCTTCTCACTGTCGCCAAAGGGCTGCTCATAGGGGGTCATATGATTGTTGGGTTTTTCTCTGGATCTATGAAGCGCCTTGAGGCGACTTTTGTTGTGATTTGGCGCTATATAAATAAAATTGAATTTAATTGAATTGAAAGGACTTTATTGTCATCTTGACTTGAAAAACAACTGTTTTTCAAGTATTTATCATAAAGATCATACAGTCAATAAATGGATAATGGTGTCAGTGACTTCATGATATTTAAAGGTGTTTATAATATTTTTTCCATAGCACTAACATTCACTCTAATGCATTTTATTTAGTGTTTTACTTGCCTAGTTCAACTGTAATCACTTGCTGGTCAGGGGTCACCAGCTGTGGCTCTACAAAAACTTTTTCTGGGAGGTCTGCAAGAAAGAAAGAAGGAAGGAAAAATAAATAAAGTGGGACATAAGCATTTGTATATATTGCCTCTGTACACCATCACAGGCTAATTTAAATCAGACAAACAAGATGTGATTGAAGTGCAGATGTTTAGCTTTAATTCAAGAGGTCTAACCGAGGTTTTCTATGAACTCTTTAGGAATTACACTCGTTTTTATCCATAATCCCCCATTTTCAGACGCTCAAAAGTATGGGAGATGAGGCCTGTTGCCTCGTCATTCCATGATAAACAAAGTTAATTAAAGAGATCTGGATCTGAGTCCAATAGCTAAACTTGTATTTCAGCATTTCACTGGAACTTCTTGTGAAATTCACTGAGACGTTGATGCAAATTAAGGAAATGAATCTGGCCCCAGAAGACCAAACAAACCTACTAGAGTCCATGATTTAATAGTCTTCCTGTGGTTAAGAAAAAAAAAAGGCTAAACAACATTTACCACAGTTGTAAACACTCAAGGAAATATGGTGTCGTTATCAGAGTCTAGAATATACAATCAAGAGATGCCTTTATGAATGTAAATACAGATGGTTTACCAGATGGTGAAAACCACTGTTCACACTCAAGAACAAGAAGAGCCTGCATGTTCTGAGAAAACATCTTTGGACATATTTAACTTACAACAGCACGAGGAGAAGAGAAAAATAATGAAAATGGAGAGATACAACTCGTATGCCAAAGCATCCAATGATTTATTTATTTTTTGTTAAACCCCCTGAATTAAGTCTTCAAGTCTATGATTAAACAAAACAAAATAATAATAATAATTATGTACAGCCAGAGTAATATATTTATATTAAAATTATTAAAAAATATTATATTATATATATATTAATATTATTATTATTAATAATTATTATTATTAAAAAATTATATATATTCAAAAATGACACTAGAATAATTAAGGATTCAATATGAGAGCGCTACAGTACTTACCGTCTTTAACAGTCAACAGGATGCTGCGTGAAGCGGTATAATTCCTGCCATCCAAGTTAATGTCTATCAGGCAGGTATATTTCCCATTGTCCTCCTCTGAGGCTTGAGGAAGCCTCATGTTGCCTTTCATATCAACAGAGATGAGTTTCCCTTGCCGCTGAATGAGCTGGCAATCCTGCAGACAGAAACCAAACTTGTAGTTAGTTTTCACAGTGCCATATTTTTGAGCCTCAAGACAAGAAAGAAGAGCCAGAAATAAAGGAAAACATGAATAAAAAGCAAAAAACTGGCATAGTGATCTCAAAATGTGTTGATCGCAAGTTTCCAGGTAACAAAATGCATAGTACTACATTGTTGCTGGCCTGGGTGGCAACCAGTCTTATCTGCCAGGGGCGCAGATCTGGCACACATTTTTCCCTGATATCCACAGAAGGGGGAAGTGTTGCATTTATGGAAGTTGTAAAACAGAAGCCTGGGATTTGGCCCACCTAAGCGGAGCGATTGTATAAAAACTAGCCTAGTTTATATCTGCTGTTTCCACTGATAGTTTATCAGCAATTGTTTCTGTCCACTCTTCATGATATTATATTCCATAAAATGGGATTATACACCAATAGCATAGCATTATGACCACTGACAGGTGAAATGAATAAAACTGATTCATTAGCACCTGTTACTGGCTGGGATATCTTAGATAGCAAGTGAATATTTTGCCCTCAAAGTTGATGTGTTAGAAGCAGGAAAAATGGGCACGCGTAAGGATTTGAGCCGAGTTTGACAAGTGCCAGCTGGGTGAGAGCCTCTCCAAAACTGGAGTGTGATCCAAGCCAACAGACGAGCTACTGTAGCTCAAAATGCTGAAAGAGTTGATGTAGGTTCTGATAGAAAGGTGTCAGAATAGTGGATCACAGTTTGCTTTGGGTAACATTCTGCTGGGAAACCATCCATGAGGATGTAACTTTGACACGTACCACCTAACTAAGCACTGCTGCACATAGAAACAGTATTCCCTGATGGCTGTGGAATCTTGCAGCAGGATAATGCACCCTGCCACAAAGCAAAAAATGGTTTACAAATGGTTTGAGCAGCACAACAGTGAGTTTGGAATCTTGACTTGGCCTGTAAATTCTCCAGATCTCAATTTAATCAACATCTGTGGGACGTGTTGGACAAAGAAGCCCGATCCATGGAGTCTCCACCTCCCAACTTATAGGAATTATAGGATCTGTAACTTAGATACCACAGCACACTTTCCGGGGTTTTGTGGAGTACACGTCTCGAGGGGTAATGTCTGTTTTGACAGTAAAAGGGAGACCAGGTGGTCATAATGTTATGCCTGACCGCCAGTACATTCTTCAGCCAGCTTTTTTAGGTGCAAAATAATATTGATGAGCAACAGTTTTCTCTGTACTCAAATCAGGTCCTAACAAGGCAAACATGTCAATGCAGTAAAACAAGTTTATTAGGCCTCTTTATACCTTCATCCATCGTACGTTCACCACGCTATTCAGTCCGAAGATTTCTTTCTGTTTACAAGGAAGACTGTCGCTCACTCCTTTTGTGATGGAAATGCTCTCAACGGTATAAGGACACTCTCCACTAGACACTGACACCCAAAACTTTAGCCTCCGTAATAATACTCCGGACTGATTCCTGAAAAGAAAAAGAATTGTAAAGCCAACAGCAAGAAATATCCCTGTACTTTTTGTTTATCCTAAATGGTTACAGACAATATGACTAAAATCTGAATTGATGTTTCAGTTATGCCACTATTCCACTGATAAGCTGAAGTTATATATCTGTTCAGCACTAATTAGATATAAGATAAAAAAAAATAACATCCATCAGGAATATAAATTAGCACACACACGCAGACTGCCTGAAGTATGGAACTGAGGAGATTTGATATCCCTCCTCTCATATATATTTGAATATTTATCCAGTTGCTCATTTGCTCTTAATGGTTTGATCATTTCCTGGATAAATAACACATTCATTTTTAGAAATGGCCAATCCCGTCTCCCTGTTGTATAGGAGGCTCCATATGCTCCCAGTACAACCTCCACACAGTCTCCTAAAAGTGCAACACCAAAGATTTACAGATGTTAAAATCCAGTTAGTAGGTTAGTTGGCATATCTTATAAAACAGGTCGCAAAAGGTTGATTTTGTTCATCTGGACGTAGCGTTTTCAGTGGAGACTTCTGAAGGAGTCACTTGGATGAGTGACGAAGGGTTTCCAATACAACAGAGCTTGATCATAGCCTGCATACAACTGTTAGGTTTTACAGCATTTTATTATAAAGTAGCTTGTGTTTGTCTGTGCACGTGTGTTAAAGCACATTTATGAATATACTAGAAGCATGGAACTGCAGGGATCAGGAGAACTCATGCAAGAGAAGTCATACAGATATTATTATACCTTATCTGACAGGTGTAAGATCCATTGTGGGACATCTGGACAGGTAGAAACCAAAGTAACCTGTCCCTCACTTCCACTCCAGTGGGCAGGCTCAGATTGTCTTTACTCTCCCCTCTGCTCCAGATCACGACGTCATGAGCCTCTGCTGTGTAGCAATTCAGCAAAAAGAAATGGCCAGCACTCACATGGAAGGTATCTATCTCCCCACGGTGGTCTGTAGGTGACAGTGCAACAGGAGACCAACTATTTGTCATTTAATGTAAGATGTTAAAAAAATATATCAATCTACAAGGAAGACATGTTACTCCAAAAGAAGAACAGATAGAACAGAAGATCACAAAGTGCTTTACACAGAGATAACAAGGTATAAAACAAAAACAGACAAACAGTTAACGAAATGCAATTCTAAAAAGATGTGTTTTTATTTGTTTTTAAAAGAGACTACCGAGTCACATGTGAGTACTTCAAGGATTTGGTCAAAAGCCTTGCTGCAGCGTTCTGAACAACCTGCAGACGTTCCAGGGAGTTTTTGCTTAGACATGTAAACAGTGAATTACAGTAGTCCAAACGTGATGAAATGAATGCATGAATAATAATCTCCAGTTTAGTACGAGATACAATAGGACTTAATTTGGCAATGTTTCTTAAGTAATAAAAGCAAGACCAAATCAGAGATTTGACATGGACATCCAATGTGAGAGCCGGGTCAAAGGTTACCCCTAGGTTCCTGATAGATGATTTCACAAATGTCGAAAGGGGACCAGCATTCATTATCATAGGAGCACATGCAAGGACTTCAGTCTGTCCTTCATTAAGTTGGAAAAGTTGTCATCCAGCCAACCTTTAATGGATTCTAAGCACTCATTCAGAGTCTGCAGCTTAGACAGATCTTGGGGCTTAAAAGGAATGCGGAATAGTGGTCAACTGTATCAAAGGCTGGCGTCGCGTCCAACATCAGCAAAACAGAACATTTTCCTTTATCGTTTTGCATCAAAATGTCACTGGAGACCCTAAGAAGGGCTGTTTCAGTAGAATGAGGTCTACGAAAGCCAGACTGAAATTTGTCAAGAATATCGTGTTTGTCCAAAACTGCTGTAAGCTGCTTAGCCACAACCTTTTCTAAAATCGTAGCAGTAATTTTGAGATTGGCCTGTAACTGCTGGGCTTTTTTTTAATGGGGTGTACAGCACAGGGACTTTACCAGTGAAGTGTTAATTGTGGTGAGCACACAGGGACCAATAGACTGGAAGACATTTTTGAGTGACGATGCAGGTAAACTGTCAAATGAACAGGAGGATACTTTCTTTGAATTAACTAATCTTTTCAGCTTGGCTAGTGAAACAAATAAAAAGCTGTCTCAAATAACAGGCCGAGCTGGAGTAGGAACTGCTGATGGGGAAAAATGTTTTCTTACATTACTAAAAAAAAAAAAATTATATTAAGAAAGAAAGAAATTTTTCACAATCTTCATTTGAAGAAATTGGGGGCAGCAGGTGGAGCAGGAGTACCAGTAATGGTGTCAAATAATACCTTAGGATTACCTCTGCTCTGGGTAACAAATTTAATTCTCCTCAGAATAAATGTGTGAAAACATCAATGCCCACTGCGATTTAACCAATCTGGTCACTCGCCGTAGAGTTTCTGTTTACAACTGTTTGTTCTTTTCTGTTCTTCTTTTCATTTATGGCATGTCAAGGACACAACCAATGTTAGGTCATTCATAAAGATAAATAACAACAACAAGGCATAGCAATACCTCCAGCTAGTGTCGGACCAAAATGCTGACACTGAAGTTTCAAAAGTTGAAAACTCATGGGTGACCTGATGTTGGCCCATCTTTCATACTGTTTACAGAAGATATTTTTAGGACAAACACCCCTTGGTGGACCTAGCTAGCTGTTAGCCAACTTCCAAACTTCCATGAAAAGACGTTTGTGTTATTTTCCAAGCTGTGAATGCCATGTCCAAAGTAGAACAACATCAATATGGATTCCTGGAAATGGGTGTCTTTCTACAGTCAAAGAGCAAACATTTCGTAACAATGACTAATGCAACTTGTTAACTTCTAATATTGCAGGTTATCAACCACTGAGAAGGGCTATGCACTTCCATGCAGGTGTGCAAAGATACGTCACCACCACCACTTCATTATTGAATTTAATAGTAACTGTTTGGCATCTGTAAACAGAACTAGGGATGCTTTCCCGTTTTTCTTCCCCGTCTGTTAATAACATAAGATAAACCAGTATTTGTCCCACACATGGGAAATTTGTTGGGTCACGGCAGAAAGGGGACAGTACAAAGTTACAAGCACCAAAAATTAAGAAAAACAATAGAATATAATACTTTATAAATAGAATAAAATAGTATGTTGCTTTGAAAATTTACACTTTGTAGTATTGCACCTAAGGGAGACAAGGAGAAGGCTATCATGGTGTATTGGATGTAAATGAAATTCTATGATAATCGTATTTTGTGGTAAGTGGTTAAATGTTTGCTCTGACAGAGCAGTTGCTGCACAAACTGTACCAAATCATTTCTACCTTTTTCTTGAGTTTTTAGTTATCTAAGTTTTACTTAGTCAAATGGATGTTGCAGATATGTGCAAAGTTATTTTTATCAAGTTATATTCTGACTGGTCTGAATAGTCAGCACTAAAATACTTTGCTATTCACAATGTCAGAGATACATGACGTTTGTGGTTAACAAGATTGTTACTGTGGTAGAAAATACCCACGTGTTTTAACATATTTAGTCTTCAGGCACAGTTGAGGAGCCACAAAGAAGTTTTGGTGGATGGGCTGAGAATACGATACCTGAAAACGAGGTTATCAGCCCAATGTGATGATGTATTTTTTATTATTAAAAATCCCACAATCAGACAGGCCCTTATTACATATTACCATAGGCTCCCTCCTGTTTATGGTAATGTGCAGGAGCTTTCTGAAGCTTTTCATACACACAGCTAGAACGACATTTCACAGAATTAAAATAAATATCAAATTTGTTTAGAAATTTTACACACTATGTTCACACAGCTATGGACAGTAGGCAAACTGTGTTTTTCACGAATGTGCAGTTGTTCTAAATTGGTGTTTTTTACATTAAATGTTTAAGCATTTATAGAAACCGCTGCTAATGTTTGCATTTTCGCTTGTTTAATGACAAAAAGGTTATGGGATTTTAAAAACTGTAGGCAATTTATGTTCTGCCTTTTCCACTATTGCTCAAGATTGCATCCTGGGCACAGATTATTCAAACAGTGAGGAAGAGTCTTGTTTGCCACTTCCTGTCAAAGCTGTAAATCTGTCATCAGTGGAACACCTCATACAGCATTAACTGATGAGACATAACCCTCATCGGGGTTTTTTTTAGACCTCAACATCATAAGTTTTTTAACCCTAATCCTAAACCCGTTATTCTGTACTTCACATTACTGTGAACAATAAATTGCACTTTTGCACATTTATTTTTTTCGTTTTAATCTATCAAAAAATTACAAAAGGATTTTATGTTTCAGGGTTTAAAGGATTAACAAGATATAAACACTGTTTTCAGCTCATCATGCCAGTTTACTGTAAGAAGAAGAAGAAATTTGTATTACACAGTTTAACTGTTAGTGAAGTTGTAAGGCTGCGTCGGCGAACCTTGTGAAATTCAGGTAATTCTAAAGCATTTGTTCGTCACAGCTGGTCAAACCCAGCTGACAAAAGTGCAACGTGCAGCCGTATCTTAGCAACGCTTAGTAATTTTAGCAGATAGCTGTTAATGTTTGTCTTACACTAATACTTCTTATCTGTGTATAGCTTACCTCCATGTAATAATATGAAGGTAAGTCATGTCAGCTAGCCTGTATCAAAGTATTCAGGTGTAACAGAATATTTAGAGTAGTACTTTTAACAAGATTATTACTCTGCTTATTACAGTCAACTGTTTTATTATTGGCGCCACACTTGGCGAGGGATCCTTGGCTCTGCTGGAGCATTTTATAAAACCTTGTCCTTTATGTTCAGCCTGACGTGCACAGGTGCTGCAACTTTAATGCTGACATCTTTTAGCTAAGACGCTTCCTGGAGATTCACACATCAAAGTCTGAGTGTAAATGTTTGGTCTCCTTGACCTATATAATCATCAGAAACCCCACAGACCTTTCCGTTTGTTTGTTTTTTGACGTTATCGTCTATCAGAATCACTTCATTGTCGTGAGAGGAATGTTGAGGGGTATGCTTTTTTTACTCATCAAACCACAGTTTATCTTTTTCTGTCGTGATTGTCTGTCTTGATAGCAAAACCTACCCAGGTAACCTATCAGTTGAATAGAGATTTTATCATACTGCTGTGCATTCTGTGCAGTCCCCTACCACAGATGTATGAATAGATAAATCCACTACAAGGAGCACTGAAGAATCAGCTTTTATTCCAGTATCTATTCTGATCGTTGATTTATGATTAATTTATGGTAACATTTGAGTTAGGATACATATATATGTATATATATATATATATATGTACACATATACACATACATATAAATGTATTTGCAAAGCTATAGGACAGTTTGCCCTGTCTGTTAAGGAAAATCTTAACAGACAGTTTAACTGGTTTCTAAACCAGCTAAACTGGTTATAAACCATGACAGCTAACCCCACGACATTGGCATAAAGCAGACAGAGCTTGTCACTCAGCTGAAACTAAGTGTTCAGAAGAAGTTGGAGAATCAGTACTTACCACGCGGCACAACAAATGACAGAGACAGCAGAACAGTCACCAAGCAGACCCAACCTGCCGCTGCCATAGTTCTTATCTGAGGGAATCAACAGACTGCGTTTCAGTAAAGTCCGGTGTGATTTTCTTGAGAACACGAGCCATCCTGTCAGGCGAACGTAGTCTTTGCAGTGTATACGAGTTTCTTGACATACTTCCTGGGGAGCACAGCTTCCCTTAAAGGGAAGTGAAAGATGGAGTGTTCTCAGCTCTCACAAGGAAGTCAGAGCCAAAACACTCCCAGTAAAGTCCCAGGAAGTTCCACTGATTGGTGTTTCTTTGTCAAAGGTTGAGAAAAAAAATCCTCTTTGTCATTTGCAGTAACTCTCTGCTGATGTAAATCATTCATGCGTTTGTTACGTCATCGAAAAGTAATAATTCATATATGAATTGCACTGCATTATACTCATTTTGGTGATTAACATAAAATGGATCGGAGTCAGGTTATATATAAGGGAATTCATGGGCAAGTTAATCTGCAGCACATATTTCTTTAAAAATACTTCATATTAATAGAAAATCAAAATTTCCCAAAATAATGCCAATTTTGGGCTTTCTGGGCTTTGAAAAAACAATGATGACATTCCTATAAAAATGTCGTAATAATAAACTTTGTAGCAATTTTTGAAATGAGTAAGCCTTATATCTCACAACTGCTGTGATAAATACTTAAAGTAAGGGTTTACCACCCTGAATGGTCTTCAGTCGTCACTTGATATGTGTTTTACATGGCAATTTTTGTCAGCATCGTATATTATTTCACAGTTTACTCAGATATCCCTCTTTAAGTTTGCATTATTGTAAAGTGGTAACCTTCCAAAGCTCAGTGAAGCAAGTGAAAATCACAGTCGCTGAGTATTTAAACTTCAGTGTCTGTGAAGGTTCTCGGTCATCCAGGTCATCGTAGTCAAAGGAGCTTTCAAAGAAAAGCGTCTGGACTTCTTTACGTTTAAGTTAAACTTCAGTGCCTTAAATAAATAGATGTCAAGACCAAAATTGAAAATCTGCTGCCAATATATTTTGTGTAAAAGCAATCAAAAGAAATATTGCTGAACAGAAAGACAAAGATAAAATCAACGGAGTGAAACCACGTCAATGTGAAACCAGTACTATAAAATTCAAAGAAGCCTACACCAAGTATTTAAAAAAGATGTAATCATAAAGCTTAATCGAAACTCACCTGTGACGTATATGAAGTTACTACAAAAATAGAAAGAACTATCTGAACAAGTACAGCTGTAGTTTTAATTATAATTTTGACTTTCCACTCTGAATTATGAGACAGAAAGTCTGCCTGTCACTTACAGTACAGTGAACTTGCAGTGACTTGCTGGATTTTCCATCCTCCTACTCCTCCTCCTCCTCCTGTATTTGCATTATTTTATATTGTTCCACTACCCCGGTATGAAATTTCCTCTCAACTGAAAAAAAGTACAACTTGCTTTGCAGTACAGGTGCAGCACAGTTATTCAACCACAGCTAAGTAGCCCTTGTGTTGTGATATAGGTCGAGTTGTTGGTGGTTAAGATTTGAAACTGACAGTTGTTTTCATGTAATAATGTAATGGCATTTAACTAACTATCAGTGTACATTTCCTGGAAATATTCCATTAAGACAGCTGCATAATACTATTTATTTAAAAAGTATTTCCTTCTAAAAAACAGTTTATTTAGTTAAACTCAAAGGCAATATTTCGTATTCTTTTTCTTAGTGTGTTTGTCTGTTTTAAGGATGAATAAAATTGAGGTTAATTGTTAGTTGTTCAAAGAGCGATAAAACACTTCTTTGTTCAAACACGGATGCGGCTGCAAATCCGTTATCGGAAAAAGCTGTGGAACTTCCCAGAAACTGTGTTGGAGCATGAATCAGAGCAGTGTTTTCAGATTATTACATTTACAATGCACAGTTTGATTTTCAAAACAAAAATGTAAACGTTCCCCAGGATCCACTCTCTCAAACCTCAAAGCTCTTTGTGGCTTTTTTCAACATATTGGATTTTATCCAAACTTTTAAAAAAAATATTCCTACAATGTCACAATTTCTTCTCCAGTTTCAAAGAATTTTACAGACAGTCATCATAAGACTATTTTCACTAATGACGAAATGGCAATCACAGTTTTATCAACATGCAATAGTGTTAAAAATGCCGTTTTCTGCTCTTTCCCTTGAGGTCTCGAATGACTTGTAAATCATGAGTCACTGTTAAGTTCAAAATAATCCGATGGTTGTGGAAATGTAACGATGACTTCTAAGATTTACAGAAATGTTTGATTTTCAAAGCATCATTAAAACAAAAATCAACAAATGTTTGTTTTTTATATATTCCTATATTCGACGTTGTTGTAAAATCCAACTTCGTATCTGTTTCACTCTCGTCTGTTTCCTTCTCTTTTTGTCTATGACCAGTGAGATCCAGTTACACGTCTGGGCATGATGAAAGGGAATGAATGACTACACCCACGAGACTTGGAACCAGACACGACAGGGTTGAACTACAGTGGCGCTTCCCAGTCGTGACTGACCTGAGACGCAAGTTGAGAGCAGTGCAGGGACTGAAAGCTAAAGGAAGAAATTAACATGAGCCAGTGTTTGATAGTGACCAACTGAGTGTTTATATTATGCTTGCTCTTTAAACTAACCGGACGTTGGTTGGTGAATGAACCCAAACTAATATTCTAAATGATCTGTAACCAAATTAAAGGCACTTCAAATCCTAAGTGTGTGTATAACATGTACCCAATAATCTCTTTAGCCCCTTTGTGTGATTTACCTGCTGCAGTTAGGTAGATTAGACGCATGATACTTAACCGGTCTTGCTATTTGAAATGTTCAGCCTTTTTTAACCTAGCATCCATGCACAGCTGCCAGATGGCAATCTTATTTTTATTTTCCATTTTTATTTTCACAAATATGGAGCTCCTTTATGACACTCATGTACACTGACAAACATGTTACATGGTTTAAGCAAAGATTTAAGATTTGGGGGGGTGATTTTATATTTAAGTAAAATCACTGTAGCAGAAATGTAAAGTAAATTGACAAAAAAAAAACACGCTATAATACTAGACCCAGTGTCTTTGTGGTGTATGTTTCTTGAGGAGGAAAGAGTAAAAACTGAAAATAATCTTTTTATTTGCAAAATAGTCACACTTTAAAAAAAAATTCAAATAGAAAACAGAGTATTTACAATTTCCCAGAATCATAAGTAAAAAAAAAAAAAATCATTGATTAAAAATGTTAGCGCATACATTTTAACCTAGATTTTTATGCAGCCTCATTTCATGATGTTGTTTTTACAAATAATATACATAAATTTAAAAAATCATCATGAATGTATACTTTTCTGGTTGTTCATCTTTACAGTTTTTACATGTTAATTTATATATTTTTTCTACATATTTACAAGTTTAATCATACATATGTACATTTCCTGATATGCCTATCGCCCAGTGTCAGCTGGGATGTTGAGGATTGTGGTAATAAAATAACTGTACGACCATTCAAGCTATTTTCATCTGCATTATTTTTCAGGCCCCTTCTGTTACAGATTGTCAGCAGTTCACATACAAACTGTGGACAATTCAGACACTGCACTGATCTGTCCATGACCAGCTGTCATCTTTAGCCAATACTATCCACATTTCTTACACTTTTTTATTCAAGTTCCACAGAAGGTAAAGGTGACATCTCTGCTGAGAGAACATTTGGAGTTGCCTGTGCTGTAAACTTGACTCAGGGTCTTGGTGTCACTGCTTCTGATAACAGTGCCCACGATCTACCTGTGAGTGAGTAAATGCAACTGTCATATTTACATTAGAAACCAGGTACTCTCTGGTTCAATATCTGACAAACACAGATCGCCATCAGAATTACAGAAAGGCTATCGTTTCAGGATACACGACCCTCTTGCCCCGGACAGGCATGTGATACCTCAGTTCCTTCCAAAACCTAGAGGAAGGGGAGAGGGATGTTGACAGCTGTGAGTCTGTTCCAGTTTTTTCTACATCAGCTCCACTCATGCACGTCTTCCACCTTTGCCTCGTCCTCTGGTTCTTCCACCAACACACGGCACCCTGCTTCTTCCTCAGATGACGCACTGACTCTGGAAATAGAGCCAGTTGAGCTGGCGTGATCTCTTCCAGCTCAACCAGAACCACCTGCACAGCAGAGCTTAGATTAGACTCGGTGGAATGATTTAATACACATTAGGCAAAAGGGTATCTTTCTGTTTAAAGTTGTAGTTAGAATCAGATACAGGAAATAAACTCTGGGCTCTGAACTTCACATTAATCAGTAATCCTGCATTCACTTCTTACATTTATCATTATTATTTAATATTTTTTGATTTTGGGATAGAAGTACAGTCAGTACTTATGAAATGCCCATCAGTCCTCCTGTTACACTCATGTTTGACATCACAAAATTTAGCACAGAAATAAATTTCTCAACTGCCTCTTTAGCTGATCAGTTAGCTTGATATAGGTGAGAATGGAAATCCATACTAAAAAAACTGATCAAGATCGGAGCCATATGAATTTGATTTGGGCATCTGCATCTAGCTCACACATCACAAAATATTATGATGTTGTAATATTTTTCCCTTATATTTACCTATCTATCTATCTATACATATATATGTATGAAATACAGATTTATACAAAATTCATGTTTTTACATGAATAATTATGTGTTGTTGTCATTTTAGCCCATTCCTTGTGGTTTTAGGCAACACAAAGACCTCATAATGTCTGATGTACACTACGGGTCAAAAGTTTTAGAACACCCCAGTTTTTCCAAGTATTTATTGCAATTCATTGAGGTCCAATGAATAGCTTGAACTGGTGCAAGGGAAGGGCTGAACTGTCAGAGGGTTAAAAAAAAAAAAAAGGTAAGGTTAACCAAAACTGAACTATAATGTGGATAAATATTTACAGTTGAAAAACTATTTGTCATCAAAACTGCAAAGGATTGCTGAACTTCCACCATGCATTAAGGTATGCATTAAGAATACAAAAGGGAAAGGTTTTCTCT